TGAGACCAGCCTCGCGAACGTGATGGCTTAGCTGGCCTGCCCTCCATGAACACGACGGCCTCAACATAATTGCGAAGGCCTTCGATTGAGCCCCTCCCCAGCTGGCCTCACACTTTGCAAACACGAAGGCCCTATCGCGAACGCGAAGGCCAGTGGACCAGGGCCTCGTGAATACGGTCCCCCGTCTCACGAAAGCATAGGGAAAAATGCCACCCAGTCTCATTCCTTCATCGCGAACGCAACTAGTGCTCCGCATTCGCGAAGAAGGAAACCGGAACAGCAACCCGGGACCCCCGTCCAAATGCACCAACAAGTCCATAACCATAATACAGACCTACTCGAACTCTCGAAACATGTAAAACATTATCGAAACTAAGAATCACACCCCAAAATCAAATTGAATTAAGTTATGAACTTCAAACAAGCTCCGAATGCGCCTAATTGTACTTAGACTACTTGGAATGATGCCAAATTTTGCGTGCAAGTCTTAAATCACCATAAGGAACTTTTCATAGGCTCGGAATCCCAAACGGACCTTGATTACACCAAAACCTATTTCAAACCAAATTTAAAGAACTTGAAAACTTTCAGTGCGCCAACTTTCAACATTATGCGCCGAAACGCTCCCAGGTCATCCGAAACCTAATCCGAAAATATGCCTAAGTCAAAAATCATCATACGTATCTATTGCTACGGTAAAATCTAGGTTCCGAGGTCGTTTTCTCAAAATATTGACTCAAATCAAACTTAACCATTTTAAGCCACTATTAAGGAACTAAGTATTCCGATTTCAACCCGAACCCTTACAAACCCGAACTAACTATCACCGCAAGTTATAAAATAGTAAAAGTACTGATAAATTATGAAAAGTGCATATTTTTGAGTATATTTGCATATTAATTCTTGTGTGTGTCGCGGGAGATTACATGATTTTTGAAGTGAAATATACTCATTATGTGTTTCTTATGTGTAGGAACGAGTTTGGATGATAAATGATCAAAAGATGATAATTGGACACAAAAAGAAGAAATTAAAGGAGTGGGAGCTCGTCTATTCTCGTGCGTGGCACAAAGTCGGACGCGAAAAAGGAGAAAAGTTAAGGCACAAAACAGCGAAGCGAAGCAAAGGCACATAGCGTTTCGCAAAATGGAAGAATCTCAAAAGATGGATCCGCGTCAAAGTCCGCGTCTAGACGCGAAGGCAAACGAGGATCCGCTTCAAAGTCCGCGTCTAGACGCGAAGGCAGACGCGGATTCCAGCTCTCCCATCTGAAGTTGGATTGAAGAGTTCTGCCCCTCATCAACCCTAGGTCATATAAATACATCCTAAAATACCACTTTGAAGGAGGAGACACTACTTTAGGATTAGACAACACCCTTGGAGGCAAGAACACGCTAGGAGCAAGGAGGAAGATTCAACTACGAGTTTTTCCCCTTCTTCTTCCTATTTTATTGTTGGTTATGAATTGGAGTATTGTGTTTTCACATACTTTTATGAATAGCTAATTTATTATCTAGAGTTTTGATGGAACCTCATGGAGGATGAATTGTTGTTATGTTTTAATATAATTTAACCTTTGGATTTATCTACTTGTTCAACTACGTGCTTATTTCAGTTGGTTGAATGGCCATTGATTGACTGTGCCTATTTAGTATGTGTTGCTTGAGAAAGAACATATATTTAGGTGGTTGTTGAACAACGTCACACCTAAAGTATATGAGAGATCAATACGGAAGATTTAAAAGCGGGATTAGAGATAACGAGGCTTTGACGTGGTCATAATGAGCGGTTAGATAAAGCCAACTAGCGTAGTTCGAGAGAATATGTCTAGTAAATTGTTTTAGTTGCTCGAGAGAGAATTACGGCACCTAAAGTTCTCACGATCAGTAGAGAATACATTGACGAAATTGTAGGGAACATAGCTGTAAGGATTCCGACAATTGGGGAAATCGTAACTCTAGACCTCCTTAATTTAGCTTCCAACCCTTTGTCTCTTTAGTTAATAATTTTGCCGCTTTGTAGTATTTGCTAGTTAATTAGTTAGAAATATAAATCTTAATCTTTATAATTTAAGAAATTGTTCAAACTTATTTTCTTTGTGATATTAAACATATATAGCAAAGCCTTAGTTCTCTGTGGGATTCGACTCCGGACTTTTAGACCGAATTATATTTGCAGCGACCGCTTATCCTTTTTAGGACTAGAGTTGGGCGTGATCAAGTACATACAGGAAGTCTTATTTAGGGGAACATAGATCTAGAAAGCAAAACGACCAGTCGGGTTGTTATAACTTTTCCAATCAAAATTGGCCCTGAGATACTAGGAAGAATGTATCCAAATCTCTACATATTTGATAAATAGATTACTCTTATCTTACTTTGACAACAGGTGCCTCTTTTGAGATGATTTACATGAAGAAACTCAACTATTTACATTTTAGGAGTTTTGGTTTTCTTTATTTTTCTATCACCCTTAAAAGTCACAAAGATAAGTTTGAACTAAGGACAATACCTCGTATGTTTTTGGGATATCCCTTTGAAACAAAATGCTACAAAGAAGATACATATTTTAAGAGATGTAAATTTTCATGAAAATGTATTTTCTTTTTCCTTATCTTCGGATTTTCCTCTCGCTCTTTGATAGACATCTTTCGGTTTTCGATTCTGATTTCGTTCGCAAGGAAGAATTGAGAATCCGTAAGGAAGCTGATTACAGGTCAACCAGAGCAGTTGTTGGTGAACTGGTTTGGTTGGTAAGATTGCTGGAAGTTGAGAATACCATTATTCCTACCAATCCTAGTTTTTTGTGACCGTTAGGTAGCCCTACATATAACCAAGAATCTAATTTTTCATGAGCACACAAAGTATCTAGAGGTCGATTGTCACTTTGTAAAGGAAAAAATATAAGAAATGTTGGTTTCCTTACACTTTCCACATCTGAACAGTTAGTCGATATTTACATCAAGTTCCTTACAAGGATCAAACATTCTACTCTTCTTGGCAAGTTGGCTGTGAATTCCTCACCTCCAACTTGAGGGGGTGAGGTATTGAGATTTATACATATTGTATTTAATTATAATTTTTCAGTTAGAAGTGTTAGTGGTAGCTAGTCGTACAATTGTAGTTAGTTGTATGTGTTAGCGGCATTGGTTGGGCAGTTGGTTATGAGCTGGACCTATCTATTATTAAAGGTTAAACACATGTTAATCATTGTGCTATTCATCCTTTTTTCTCTATTGTGGAAATTTCTTTCATTCTCTTTCTCTTACATTTCTTTCCTTTCCACCATTCGGGCTTATTCTTAGCTCAGTTCCATGTTTGATTTGCAGTTTGACAAATACAAACCTTTTCGAGTAATAGACGGATAAATTTGGCCTTGTTCCATTTGAAGAAAGTAAATCTTTTGAAATTTGTGTAACTATAAGAATTTTAAAATTGTGATTCGAATATTTCATAAGTAATATTTATCTTGTTACAAAAAATTACATGATTGATTTTTTTTGGTTTTTCATCAGGTATTTGGTACCCGCATTGAAGCCCGACTATATCTGGATTCACGCCGCGTAAGGCCCCATTCGAGGAAGCACTCCCTACTAAAGATTTTTTTCGTACTTGGTTAAGGGAAAAACAACCCCACCACATCCTTTGGTTGTACATAGGGTGTCAATGGTACGGTTCGGCCAGTTATTTTATAAATTTTGTACCTTACCAATTTCGGTTATTCTATTATGTATAACCAAAATTAGACTTTTCGAAACCGTCCCGATCATGTCGGTTTCTCTTTGGTATCGGTACGGTTCGATTAATTTTCGATATTTTTTTTAAATATCACATAAAAGTCACTAGTAGAAGTAGAATGCAATAACATACTCTTATAGGACTTAGCAAAACTCTCTAGACATTTTTACAGTTTAAAAGGTGATGAATTAAGAAAATATGAAAGATGACTAGAGTATAGATCCATCAACTATTCTACAACAGCGTAAAAGAAACTAAGCAAATTCAAAGAAAATATAAATCACGCGAGTGGAAAGATATTAACCAAGCTATGATTCAATAATAAAATTTATAGAAGATTAAATATTTAAAAAGATAAATCTAAATTATACGAAAGGAAACATATTCAATACATTGTAGCTTGCTACTCATAATCACTATAATACCTTGTGTCTTGCTAGTGAATATGCTGAAAATAATTTAGTTTCAATAGTAGTAGCATAATAGATTTGGGAATTAGGATTTTGAGTTTAATTACTTGTTGGCTTGTAATTGTTTTATAATTCCAAGCCTCAAGGAAAAATTTAATACTTTATTATTTTTAAACTTAATATATAAATATATTTTCACATTATAAATTTATTCGGTATAGTTCGGTTTATTTTAATAAAATAAAAAACTTACCCAGTTATTAGTACGGTTATAAATTTATATAAAAACCTACGATTCTATTAAAAGGTCAATTTAATTGATTTTAAATATCCATTGACATATTACTCTCGGAAGAAATCGGGAAAAAGCACGAGTGTATCGTAGTTCCAAGGTAACGTGACGCAACACTAAATCTTGGAAAACATCCGTTTGGAGATCCCCTGCCCTCTGCGTGCTTGAAATTGAAACTTGACAAACGCCTAAAAGACGTAATAATCACATTTTCATGGTCGCCAAATACTATTTCCTACTGTCCAAAATAAGTGATTTTTTGGTATTTTTTTTGTGGTCCAAAATAGGTAATTTTCCCAGATTTCAAGAATGAATTAATTATTTTTTTTCCTACATTGTCCTTGGAGTAAATAGTGTTGGAATATGTGTTAGGACTGTTTATGTGAGATAGTAAAGGTTAATATGATCAATTCCATTGCTAATTAATGCTAAAAGGTGAATTTCTTAATCTGTGTGAAAATATCCAAAAAAAAAAAAAAAAATTACTTATTTTGGACCGGAGGAAGTACTACTACTATTCTCAAACACAGATTTACCTTTCTCATTTTTCCACCCCACGTGTTTCATTTCTCCAAAGACTTTCAGAACCCAACTCTTTGCTGTATGTCAAATTCAATTCAATTATTAACCCCAAAAAGGCAGCAAGAAAAAATATCCCAATATTCTGCATTTTTCTGAAAAGCTCTCACTCTCTAATTCTGTGTAACCTAATTCCTGTTGGGCTTTATTTATTAATTAAATTATGACGGTTTGGAGCCGCGCAGTGGTAAGATGGCGATGTAGTAGAGTCACCAATTTAACCTACCGGGGTTTTTGTTATAATAAACCTTCTAAAACTGACCTTCAAGTACCGCCGTTGCCGGCGAATTTGCCGGCAGGTTCTCCGGCAAGTAGTTTTAAAGACAAGGGCAGAAATGTGCAATGGGTGTTTCTGGGTTGTCCAGGTGTGGGCAAAGGAACGTATGCAGCTCGACTTTCAAAGCTTCTTGGCGTACCTCACATAGCTACTGGTGATCTCGTTCGTCACGAACTCTCTTCTCATGGACCCCTCGCTTCTCAGGTCTAAATTTCATGTATTTTTTATGGGTTTCGTTTAAAATTTTAGCCCCAAGATTTTGCAAGATGAGAAGATGGAATTTAAATTAATTTGTATAGGCTACAACGTTTTGGCTTCTGTGTTTGGAAGTATCAAGATTTCTGTTTAAAAGGTTTAATCTTTGTAGTGCGAGTATGTGTATACTTAATGTTTGAGTGATGGTGTGGAAAAGTGTCCATCTTTTGCCTGAAGAAGGTGTGTGTGTGTGTGGGGGTGGGGGGG